CGCCACATCACACCGGCGATATCAGCACACCCGCCACGGTCCACCGCCCTCACCGCCGTTGCCCTTGCTCGCGACCACCACCGTCGCCCTCGACGCCCGTCGCCCAACCGTCAGCACCACCCCCGACTGCGGCCGCCGCGCCACCGCCGCTGCACCCACCAAAAGCACCCACCGATCCACAACCGCCGCTCCCGTCAACAACGGCCACCGCCCCAACCCTGCCTCAACCCATCACGGTCACCTCCCCACACAGAGCAAATCACAGCAGCCGCGAGTCATGATGGTGCACGGTGGGACATATGATGTGCTAGACAACGGCACAACCTATGACCCGGTAGACGAGGATGATTGGCAGGAGGTGATGGAGGTGAAAGCACGACCACCCGCGGGCAAACAGACCAGAGGCATTAGGCTGTTCCAATACTCCTTCAACTCCCAAGAGGCCAAAGAGGGTAGGGAGAAGTGGGGCCGGGTGTGTTATAACTGCAAATCAGAGGAGCACTACCTCCGCAACTGCGACCAGCCATACACAAACGCGTGTGCACAATTCAACAAAGCATTTGGAGAAGGCACCTCGAAGGAGGTTGAGGAACGTTGGCGCGACGTGTTGGCAACCCTCCAGAAAAACTATGAGCGTGCTAGGGTCTGTAGGGAAGAGGTCGAAAAATCTAATTCTTCGAGCCATTAGTACCTCGTCGCCGGGGGCATCAGCCTCCCGGCGGCGGCAGCATCGGTACCAGTAATGGGTAAGGGAGGCAGCCCCCGTGACAGGGGGCCGTCGACATACGCAACACCAACCGATGAACGTGTACAAAATAGGAACAGAAGCAGCAGAGAGAGTAGCAGCAGTAGGGAGAATCTACATGTAGAGCAAATCCCGGAGGTGCAGTGAGTACCCATCCGGAGCGAATTCCCGGAGGTGCAGCGAGTACCCATCCGGAGCGAAATCCCGGAGGTGCAGCGAGTACCCAACCGGAGCGAAATCCCGGAGGTGCAGCGAGCACCCATCCGGAGCGAAATCCTGGAGGTGCAGCGAGTACCCATCCGGAGCGAAATGCCGGAGGTGCAGCGAGTACCCACCCGGAGCGAAATCCTTGAGGTGCAGCGAGTATCCGTCCAGAGCGATAACCAGAAACAGAGCGGGGTAAAGATCGGGAGTCATGACCCGACACCACAACCCAACTCATCTCAGAAAGAAACAGAACCGAAGAGACATAGTACAGGGAAAAGGACACGCCCGCTCCCCCGCAAGCGCGAGTGGAGTACCCAGAACACCGTAGTCCAGGAAGGAATTGAGGCCAAGCCCACAGATACAGCTAGGCCGCTTCCGAACAGTGGGGAAGGGGGAGCAGTCGATCAGATCGGCCCTTCCCTAACGCATGGTATAGTCTCCGCCCATCGAAATCTGTCAGAGGTAACCGGCTACCCAACCGCAGCTGTTGACACAGCAGCAGCTACACAGCAGTCAGTCGCGGCGGTCGCAGGAGTACCGGCAGCAGCGGCACAGTGCACACAGAGTAGAAGGGAAGTGGTAGAGACTTCGACAACTACCCCAGAGAGCGGTGTAGGAGCGGAACAGCTTCCGTCGCCTACATCAAGGGCCCCTCTGACCCAGATTTACATAGTAGAGGGGGGGCACACGGAACGGAGAAAGACTAAAAACAAGAGCCATAGGGCAAGGGTACGCGGACGGAAGGGGGTAGATGTCATGAGTGTGAAGGATGAAGTTGCTTCGAGCCTGAGCGTGTGGAACAAACAGCGGACGGGCAGAGTTGCACACGATACTTTGGGGATGGAGCTACCGAGTAGTTTTCTGAAGGAAGTCATGGACTTCAAGGCAGGGGAGGTATGTTTAAGTACTAGCCGTCAGACCGCGAAGGTGAGTGTGTTTGCAAGGGCACATGCCCGAGCAGCGCAGCCAGCAGTGGCGTTAGTTGACACAGGGTCACCCCAATCATTTGTGGCCGAGAAGGTAGTCAAGCGCATGCTTGAATGCGGGGCAGCCTCGAAATCAGGCATCCGCACTGCCAAAACACGTAGATGGAGTGGTTTTGGAGGCACACCATTGGCAACGAATAGCATGGTGCGACTCAATGTACAGTTTTTCGATCGTGCGTCACAAGCCACAGCAAAGCTTGCAGTAAACGCGTATGTAGTACCAGAGGGGGTGATGAGCCACGAGGTTCTCCTCGGTACAGACAGTTGGGCGCGTTTCCCTGTGAGGGAGATTGTGATGAAAGGGAGGATGAGACCACTCTTCGATTGAAAACCTCCCTACCTCCTACCCAAACACCTACGGTTGACCAGGATGCTGAGCCGGAGATGGTAGCGTTCATCGAGTCACCAGACCATGATGGCAGCGAGCATCGTTTGATTTTTGATTCCACGAAAGACGTGCAATACTTAACAGACCAGAGGTATTGAGTCCCTCTCCGAGTGGAGACGGCGGAAGGACAAGTAGTCAGGGAAGGAATTTTTTTTGCAAGGTGTTCAGAGAACTGGACCTCGCCGGAAATGGTGGTAGAGGCAGGAGGGGTAGCATTGCCCCTTTCTGTGCGTACAGCGTTGGGAGTACGGGCGGGTAGCATCATCAGCAGCAACGTAACACCCTTGTGTGAAACACCCCTGTCGGATTTCGTCGTTACTCCAGAGCCCACCGTATCGTTGTACACAGTAGAGGAGGAAGAAGCAACCGCCGACTCCTCCGCTAACCCAACCCCACCCCCCTTCCCCAGCCCCGACTCCCCTCCCACGGAGTTACTTTCCGACAAAAAGCCGGAGTGCCAGGAGGCATTGTGCAGGCTATGGGCACGGGTGCCGGCGCATGAACGTGAAGTGAATTTTGGGTTGGGGCATGACGCTTGGACGGCCAAGGACATTGATAGCTTAGCGGATGTATTAGTGGAGCATGCAGATCGGTTTTCGGCGCATAAGACCGATCTAGGGCATTGCACCGCCTTGACGTTTCGCATTGACCTGAAGGCAGGTACGAGACCGGTAAAGCAGCGCCCGTATCGGCGGAGTCCAGTAATAAACCGAAAGATTAAGATAGAGATTGATCGGTTAGTTAGCCGTGGGATTTTGCGGAAGTCCACCTCAAATTGGGCGTCGCCGCTTGTAGCTGTGTTAAAGAAGGATGGTAGCCTGAGGTTGATATGCAACTTTAAACGGTTAAATGAGGCGACAATCGTTCCCGTTTCCCCCATGCCCTTAGTCAGCGATCTCATAGCGGCGCTGGGAGGGAGCAAGGTCTTCTCGGTCCTCGACCTGATGAGCGGGTACTTTCAGGCTGCCATCGACGAGTCGAGCATCCCCCTGACGGCCGTCTGCACTTCATTCGGGTTGTTCGAATGGACCCGGACTCCACAGGGATGCTCCGGGAGCCCGGCTAACTTCCAGTCGCTGATGGCTAAGCCCGGTGTCTTCCGTCGGTCTGCAACCGTTCAGTGGACAGTATCAGCCGGGGCTAATACTCCATGGGCATCCGATCGGCGCCACAGCAACCAAGAGGGACGTCGCGGGCCTCCTGGTGGATGTATACAGGATGCTAGGGGCCAAGAAGCGGTACACGAGTTCTTTTCATCCGCACACCAACGGTTGTGTTGAGCGTCTGAATCACACCGTTTGTCAGATGTTGTCTCACGTCGTCTGTTGTCAGCAGGCGGATTGGGATGAATACCTGTTGCAAGTCTGTTACTGCCACAACAACCACGTAAGCAAAGCCACTGGTCTAGCCGCTTCTGAGATTCACATAGGGAGGTACCCGGGTCTAGGCTTCTGAGGTTGCCGATGACGATACTGGGGCCTAGGAATGAGATCAGGGGGTGGCAGAGTACCAAGCAGGACCAGCTCGACTACTTGCAGCTGACTAAAGACCGACAGGCTAGGGCCTACCAACTAGTGGTGCAGAGTGATAGGCTAACGAAGGAGAAGCATCGAGCCAACAAGGAGCAGCTAGATAACGCTATCACCAAGCGACCGAATTTCTCCGCTGGGGAGTGGGTATGGGTGTACGATGTGCAGCATACGTTGGCAACGGCAGGGGGGAGTACTCAACAGCGAATAAAGGGCAAGTTAGCGAACAAGTGGGTGGGTCCTTTTAAGGTGTTGGTATTGGGTTCGTGCAAGGTGGAGAACCATGTAGTAGGTCCCAAACTATTGATTCTGGAGTTCCCATACGATCAGAAGGGCAGTAGGCGAGTGTCAGTCCTGAGGTGTAAGCGTTGTTTCCTCCCGCACGAGATCCACGACATCCCCAAGTATTTGCCGGGAAGCTATGTGCGTACGTCCTGAATAACTTTTCGCAGCAAGCGCCCCCTTTCTACCTGACCTCGGAAGGTGTTGAGATAGAGCTCGACACGGAGAGGGCACAGCCGTTGCGAGTAGTGGCCCACAGGATTAGCCGAGGACCGGGTGGAACCTTAGCAGTACAGTTTGAGATCGTTTGGAAGGGGCAGAGGAAGACCACTTGGGAAACAGAGCAGAACTTGCAGCAGTACGGGGATGTAAT